CCTCTATTTTTCCATCGTGGTAGAAATATCCCCTTCCTACAAAACTCTTGATATATCATGTTTTGAATTGGGGCCAAAAGTATAAATTTTAGACCAATTATTAAATTTAGGCCAAAAGTATAATTTTTGAAAGTGGGATGATCTGTTGACCGGGTAAAAGGGTCAAAATGAATACAATTGCCGTTTTTGAGACTTAATTGAATAAAAAAAACATATAACGACTAAATCGATTATAATGCCAAAATATAATAAATTTTATAGAGTTTCCCTAAACTAAAAATGCATATAACATGATTCTTGGACCTATATATATATATATATATATATATATATATATATATATATATATAGATATAGATAGATTAGAGAGAGAGATGAGCGCGAGAGAGAGAGAGAGAGAGAGAGAGAGTTAGGATCATTTATAAATAAACAAATATTGAGTGAACATGTGAGTGAATAACAACCAATCATTTTAAAAGAATATTATGGTAATTTAACTCAATAATTAATTAATCGTATTTTTAATTAATCCAATAAATTAGGTAACTGATTAATTACTATCCTAATTTATCTCATTCTCCCTTATCTCTTTATACAAGACACGAAAACTTTAACAAGCACGATACCTTTTTTTAAAGAAAGAATTTTCTCTAGAAATTCTTTTACAACCATCGGTGCATAAAATGACCAGATTCACATTACTTTGGTGATCGATTGAAGGAAAGGAGTAATCGACTAATTGCACATCAAGAAGAACCGACCTTGTTTTTTTTCCTTGATCGATTAAATGGGTAAGGTAATCGCACAGTAGGAAGAATATACCTCTGTTTTTTGCTTCACAATTATGGTGGTAGCTTGCACTCTGGCTTGATAAAATATGGCCCGAATATATAAATGCGAAATGTGTGCGAGAGGTATACTCAAAATCAGGGACATAATCTTTTCCAGTCGCATCGAATAGGGAAGCCAACCAAGATTTCACTTCCCCTAATCAGTTGGCATCGAAACATCTGCTGCTTTTATTTTGGCATTTCGTTTGCAGATGAAGGTGTTAGTTTTAGGCATTGTATTATTCAAATATTCTTTAAGAATGATTGAATTCTTTAAGAATTAGATTCGTTCATGCTGGTGTTATGTGATGATGATTAAAGTTGAAATACATTTTTTTTTTGGGAATTGTATTCTTTAATAATTTTTGTATAAAAAAATGGTGTTATAGAGTTAGAAAACTATATATTCTTCAAGAATTACTACATTTGTATAAAATATTTGTGGTGTTATAGGTAAAACACTTCAATTCTTCAAGGATTCTTTACTTGTATACAAAATGAAACATGTTAAATTATTTATTAATTCTTTAAGGATTCTTTATTTGTATACAAAATGAAACATGTTAAATTATTTATTAATCATAAATTCTAAAAGAATATTTGATTGGTTGTTAAGTTAAACCAATTATTTATCCTAAATTCTAAAAGAATATTTGATTGGTTGTTAAGTTATATCACATTATTTTTCCAGAAAATAGTTAGATTTCCATTGTCATATTATATTAATCATATGTATTAACTTTTTATTTAATTTCATTTTATCTTTTTCATTAATTTCACTCAGTTGCCAAAAATATATCTAATATTTATTTCTCTCTCTTTAATGAGGTGCAATTATCGAGTAAGTGACATCTTATGTTAATACAATGTATCCAAAATCACATCCATTCAATTTTGTTAATTCAATGGACCGAATTTGGTCATACTTTCACACAATATTTATGATTCACACACACACATACACACACACACACACACACACATATATATATATATATATATATATATATATATATATATATATATAGGGTGAAGTTCAATAGGGAATCATAATTAACCAAGTAACCAAGGAACCAATCGTGAGCGTCGGAAATCATAACGATCAACGGGCAAAGAAAAATAGATGTACACTTTTACATTGGACGCACACACACCGGATTATACCAAAAAATCCATCATTTACAAAAAAATCCACCACTTTTTTTCGTTTAAAATTTTTTTAGGCCATGTTTTTTATCAAAAAAAAAACCGAATATACCGTTGTTTATGATTTTTCGTCCTCTTTCCACAGAGATCCATGATGATATATAAAAAACGAAATTTTTTTTTTCGAAAAAAACTCACTTCATTTTCTTTAATGAAAAAAATTAATATCTATTTTTTATAGAAAAAAATTAACGAATATATCAAAATTCATATTTTTTTTTTTTACTTTTTAAACATAGATTCATATTCATGTTAAAAAAACGATATTTCAGTTCAGATTCATATTGTGAACCAGTTCATATTCATATTGTAAACCTGTTCAGATTCACATTGTGAACCTTCTCAGATTCACAGTGTGCATAATAATAAGTCAGATTCACAGTGTGAATCTGAACTGATTGGAGCTTTTTCACATTGTGAATGTTAAAATTTGAAATATTACAGTTTAGATTCACAGTGTTAATCTGCACTGATCGATGTTTTTTTTTTTTTGTGAACCTTCTTAGATTCACAGTGTGCATAATAGTAATACAGATTCACAATGTGAATCTGAACTATTCGAGATTTTTCATATTGTGAATGTTAAAAATTGAAATATTTACAGTTTAGATTCACAGTGTGAATCTACACTGTTCGAGGTTTTTTTTTTTAATTGTAGTTGATGTTTATTAATAGAGTACAAAAAATTAATATTTTTGGTATAATTAGTTTTTTTTTTTATAAAAATAAACTTAAATATTGAAAAAACTAAGAAAATTAAGTGAGTTTTTTTTGAAAAAAAAAAGTTCGTTTTTTATATATCATCATGGATCTCTATGGAAAGAGGACGAAAAATCGTGAACAATGGTATATTCGTTTTTTTTTTTCGATAAAAAACTTGGCCTAAAAAAAATTTTAAATGAAAAAAAGCAAATGAGTATTGTTATAATCTGGTACATGTGCGTCCATTATAAAATTTTACAACCCTTCCTTTTACCGTTGATCGCTTTAAATTCCGACTCTTTAGATTGGTTCCTTGATTAATAATGGTTCTCTATTGAACGTGCCGATTCTATAGATATATATAGATAGAGATATATATATATATATATATCTATATAGATATATATATATATATATATATATATATTTATATATATATATATATATATATATATATATATATATATATATATATATATATATAGAAAAGTTCAATAGAGAACCATTATTAATCAAGGAACCAAGGAACCAATCCAAAGCGTCGGAATTTAAAGCGATCAACGGCAAAAGGAAGGGTTCTAAAATTTTATAATGGACACACATGTACAGGATTATAACAAAATCCACTTCTTTTTTTTCATTTAAAATTTTTTTTAGGGCAAGTTTTTTATCGAAAAAAAAAACCGAATATACCGTTGTTCACGATTTTTCGTCCTATTTCCATAGAGATACATGATGATATATAAAATCCGAACTTTTTTTTCTAGAAAAAAACCCACTTAATTTTCTTAGTTTTTTTAATATTTAAGTTTATTTTTATCAAAAAAAACTAATTATACCAAAAATATTAATTTTTTGTACTCTATTAATAAACATCAACACCGATTAAAAAAAAAAAAAAAAAAAAAAAACTCGAACAGTGTAGATTCACACTGTGAATCTAAACTGTAAATATTTTAATTTTTAACATTCACAATATGAAAAATCTCGAACAGTTCAGATTCACATTGTGAATCTGAATTACTATTATGCACACTGTGAACCTGAGAATGTTCACCAAAAAAAAAAAAAAAAAAAAAAACCTCGATCAGTGTAAATACACACTGTGAATCTAAACTGTAAATATTTCAAATTTTAACATTCACAATGTGAAAAAGCTCCGATCAGTTCAGATTCACACTGTGAATCTGAGTTATTATTATGCACACTGTGAATCTGAGGAGGTTCACACTGTGAATCTGAACAGATTTACAATATGAATCTGAACAGGTTCACAATGTGAATCTGAACTGAAATATCGTTTTGTTTTTTTTTTATTATTATTTTTTTTATTTTTAACATGAATATGAATCTATGTTTAAAAAGTACAAAAAATATGAATTTTGATATATTTATTAATTTTTTTCTATAAAAAATAGACCTTAACTTTTTTAATCAAAGAAAATGAAGTGAGTTTTTTTCGAAAAAAAAAGTTTGTTTTATATATATCATCATGGATCTCTATGGAAAGGGGACGGAAAATCGTGAACAACGGTATATTCGGTTTTTTTTTTTTTGATAAAAAACATAGTCTAAAAAAAATTTTAAACGAAAAAAAGTGATGAATTTTTTTGTAAATTGTGAATTTTTTGGTATAATCCGGTAGGTGTGGGTCCAATGTAAAAGTGTACATCTATTTCCTTGCCCGTTGATCGTTATGATTTCCGACGCTCACGATTGGTTCCTTGGTTAATTATGGTTCTCTATTGAAGCTCACCCTTTATATATATAATATATATATATATATATATATAATATATATATATATATGAATTAATTTTGGAGCTCCTAATCATGTATGAGAAGCCCGGCCAAATTTCCCAATCTATTGGGCCGGTCCGTTTCCTCTATGTTTTATATTATTCCCTTAGCTCAACATCTATCACAAGCCACCTATAATATGGATCAGAATCCGTATCTTTTTACAAAATATTTGCCCAACTTCCTTATAAGTAATTCAAGCCTGCTGTCTTTAGATATCAACCCTAAAAACGAATTCTTTCGTTCACACAAACTTCATTTTGAAGTACGATAGAGATCTCCATACAAAATTCTCATGAAAGAAAACATAAATGCTCGTTGGAAACCCGCACAAAAATTTGTTCCGAACCAGATATACACTCTGTTTTTCCAACGATATCAATACTTAATTCAACATGTATCATATTTTTTTGACATTAAGCATTATAAATTTCACCATTACTACAAACAATGTAGAAAATTCTAATCGTATTTTTCTCTCCAAGAATACACCAAAAAAGACAACCAAGAAGTCGCGAGGAGAGTGTCGCCAACGACTTGCTTAGGCCAATCGCTAGCCAAATCTTCGAGTTTCCTCTCAAAATAAATTCTCCACAGAGCCATTGACAAGTGAAGAATCACACACCCTTTCGCGAAAAAGCTTTGAAACTCTCGATCTTTAACAAATGCAACCATGAAATAGATCAATCCAATGCCACAAAGAAGCAATCCCACGAAAGAATGAGAAGTCTGTATCAACAGCTGATCATGTGGCGTCGATCCTGATAGTTTCCGAGCAGTCTCGATTCCATGGCCGAAAACCGAGATCTCATTGAGGCAAAACATGATCAAGCCACCGCATGATATGGCGATTGAGGAATGGAGAAGACAGATTATGAAGAAACCAGATGATTCCATCGATCGGAAACAAATACCCAGGTTCCTGATCTTCAAATTGGGAGAAAATTGTTGGAGAAACTGCTGGGTTTATCAATGTTGACTAGAATCGTGTTGATGGGAGATGAAGATGGAGAATGCGATACATGGTGATAAAGGGAAATCTGGGGTTAATTGTGGAAACATGTACAATGTATTTTAGTATATAGAAGGAGATGATAAACCCTAGATTTTGATTTTGGGTTGTTTGTGATCTGATCTGAAATAGGGATTGGAGAAAGGAATTGGATGTATCGATGCGAAGATGATGGGGGATGGGAGTCGTGTTGGAAGGCGTGCATTGAAAATCACTAAATTGGGTCGGCGCTCTGTCGTCTATTATATTTTCTACCAACTTGCACAAAATGGTCTTCCAATGCTATGATAATATTCAATTTTTATATATACTCTTAAAATCTATGTATAATATAGATTAATTTTAAAAATAATATTAAATATAACGGTTTAAATATTTAAAAACTTTGAATTTATAGGAAAATAAAAGCAATAATGAATTATTAAATTTGAAATGTTTTATTTTTTAAATTTAAATAAATAAGTAAAAGAAATTAATGAACTTTAATTTAAGTAATATACTAAATATAAATGTCTTGATTGACAATTTTTTTTTTGGTAAAATAATCATATAATATCTGTAACAATACATAGTTGAAATCATGAAAATACATTTTGGAGTATGCTTTTTAAATATAAATTAATAGTTGGTCATTTGTAGTGTGTTTATTTTTATTTTTAATTATGATTAATTGTAAGGTTGTAAAAATCACGATCTTGATTGTAGGATCATACAATCATATGATAGATCTCATGCATGAAAAATGAGCCGGATTGTATCTATGGTAGGATCGCAAGTAAGATAGTAGAATTTATGTTTTTTGAAAAAAAAAGATTGTGCTTGAAAAACATGTAAAATCGAATTGTATGAAAACCATTTAATCTATTGCAAAAAATAATAATTACATATGTTTAAATAACAATATACGTCTAATGAACCCTTATTTTTTCTTTGTACCCTATACAATCTCTGCAAATCTCCTTCAATATAATTTGGCCCAAGTCTCGGTTGAACCCTATATCCTCACAGATTTGCCAACGATCAACCTCTCTACGAACCAACATATGGATACTCCACAATCCTTTTTACCTCTAGACTATTATGGTATGTCTTTACTGTTGGATTAAGTGTCTAAGATCTTAACTAAATTGATATAATCTTAGTGGATAAAAAAATAAAGTCATTTTTAGGTTGCCTTATAACCAGAAAAATAGCTAGGATTGATATTTAGAGATAGGGATGAAATGTTTATTAATATATTATATGATTAATATATTCATTAGAAATTGTTAATAATTAATCAGAACTAATTGAAATTAATTTTGGGTTAATTAGAATTAATTAAGAGTACAAGGGTTGAACTGCAATTGTTCAATAGTTGAGCAATGAAGAGAATTATAGAACCTTCCCCCTATGAACGGTTTTGAGGAGGGCTTAGAAGAGTTTTGGAAGCCTCGATCAGACAAGGAAACAAAATCTGAATCAAACTAAAATACTATTATTTTAATATTTAAATCTAGGGTTTCAGGGTAATCTGACAGCTATATAAAAGGACCGTAACCCTTTGAAAAACCGATACATTGCCCTACACAAGAAGAAATCGGTTTCCTCCATCTCCCTCTCTCCATATTTCGATCATAGGGTTTCCTAGGGTTTGAGTGTGACACATTAGAGACTTCCACATTATTGGAGCTAACTTTCCAAGGTTTTCTCCAAGAGGTTTTCTTACATCATTCGATTATTTCACAAAGTATGGTTCTAATCTAATAGTTTTTGATTTTATAGGTTAGATGAAGTTTCACAAAGTATGATACTATAACTAGAGAAAATGCCATAGTGTGCTATGTTGCATGTACCCATAAGAGTTTATGTTAATTTCCGTTGTACAAATCCTTTTGTTGTAACCTAGAAAACCCATTAGTGCTATCAGAGCCTAATTTTCTGTTATTAGTGCATATTATGAAACCAAAAATGGATACCTGAAGAAACCGAGAAAAACTGTCAATCATAGGGCGCACTGCGCTTGCAGACAGGAGCGACGCTCTTTTGGCTGTAGTAGGGTTTCAGGATTTAATTGGCTTTTTGAATTGTAAGATAATTATTAGTCATGAATTTTTATTTTAATTGATTAAGATCTGAACGTTATTGTAACATTCCGTTTGAAATTCAGTAAATAAATAATAAACCCTAAACCGCGAGATGTAAATTTATATTTTATATTATTTTATTGCAACCTTAAATCCATAATAATTTAGCAGGGGGTTGGTTCTGGGAGTTAAATGTCATAAATTTTTAATATTGGGGGTTAAGTGTAATTTTCAGAGTGATTTTGTAAAGATTTCAGAAGGCAGGGGGTGTTTGGTAAGTTTAGGAGTTAATCTGAAAAGGATCTTGTGGAGAGGGACTAAACTTGGAAAAAGTGAATAAATGTTTGAAAGGAACACGAGATTAAACCCAGTGCCCCCTTCCCCTTATTTTCTTAATGCAAACCCTAACCCTAATTGCAATGCATCCAGCCGCCACCCTTATGCTTCTATGCTCCAGCCGTCGTCAGCTTCTAGTCATGTAGGGACTAACGAGCGTCGTCGCCGCTGCTCTCATCGTTGACGAAGATGAGGGTCACGAGCTCGACGCTGTGACTGTGGGGAAACCGGACGAACGAACTCTGTGGCTGTAATGTCTCTCTCCGTCAATGGCGCAATCCCCTCTTCACCCTCTTCGTTGTTCCGCCGTGTCCCGCCGTCGCCGTCGTCGCCATGCGACTGCTTAGTATTGCTGGTGTTCTCCGACTGCCGCCTGCCACCTCGAGGGTAGTTGAGTTGGGTGTGTTTTCTGTGTAATATCTCGTGTTAGTGTTCGTGTGTTGTTGTTACGATTCGAAGGCGTGCATGTGTATTTTCTGTTGGCCGGAAAACGTGGAAAGACCACCATGACAGCTAGCCATGGTGGATGTCATCTTGTTGCCACCCTCTGCCGCCATCAGCCACCGTGGAAGATGGTTGTGTGTGTATTATGGTGCAAATATATGTGTGTTTTGGGGGTGTGATGTTGTATGAACAACCTTTGGCCGGAAAAAATCAAGGAAAACCCCCACCACCATCGTGAGGTGGTGGCTGCCGCCGTGAACCGTCGTCGACCACCACCGCCCGAGGTGGCATTGGGTGGTGCTCGACCTAGTGAAACCCAAATTATTCAAAAACTTAACTCTGGACCTAGTTGGCATGTATTTGGGTTAGAAACCCTAATTAGGGTTTAGAAATCCTAATCTTGGAGACTTTTGTTTGGGACTTGCTGGGACCCGCATTTTGGACCGTTGGATTGGAATTATGAATCATGCCTGACCACATTGTATGATTGGCCTAGTAGAGTGATGGGCTTAGTGGATTAATTCCTTAATGGGTTAAGTGTTTTTACTTAACCCTAATCGTCATTTTATGTAAAAACCCTAATCATGTTTGGGCTTCGAGTTGGGCCTTTCTTTTGGGCTTAGGTGTTTGGATTCTTGTTGGGCCATCTGAGAACAAGTGTATGGACTAGGATATTTTTATGGGCTTTAGGGTAAGGCCCATGTAAGGGGTTTGGGCCCAATTTGGAAAATTGGACCATATTTGGGCCTTGGTTGGTTTTTCGCTTTTGGGCCTCCAGAGTGTGAGTTTGGGCCATGGTTTTGGACCAAGCTAGGTTAGGGGTAAAATAGTCTTTTTACCCCAAGTATGGATTTATGGTTATGCATTGGCACCCAACTGTTAATTGGGTGTTGTTTTGATGTTTGACGGTTTGGGAATCTGTCAGCCAGCAGCCGGGGTTCGCCTGTGTGATTCGGCAGCGTGAGGTGAGTCTTCTCACTATATCCATGGGTCGAAGGTACCAATGCCGGCCCATTACTTGTTATGTGGAATGCTAGTTGTCTCTGTGATACTTGTATGAAAGACCATGGGGGAGCCCATTGCATTTGGATATAAGACCATGGGGGGAGCCCATGGCATTCATTGGTAAAGACCATGGAGGGAGCCCATGGAAACTATATGTATGTTGCATGATATTCTATGGATGATATTTTTGTGGATGATATACTATGAATGATACTCTGTGGATGATATTTTGTGGTTGTATGCTATGTGGTATTTTTGGGAACTCACTAAGCTTTGTGCTTACGGTTTTCAATTTATTGTTTCAGGTACTTTGGTTTTCAAATGGAAGGGCTCAGGATGATTGCAGAGCACACACCACATGTTTCCGTTTTCTGTGAATTACTCTGATTGGTCAATGTTTTGTTAAAACTTAATTACACTGGTTTTATGGGAAAGACATGTATTAACGATCTATTAATCTAAAAACAAAAATTTTTATATCATGATTTTTGGGGTGTTACAAGTTGGTATCAGAGCCTTGGTTTGAGGGATTTAGACATGCTCTCAGGTGTGTCTGAACTCAAACTGAGGAATTGGTAAAGTTTTCAAAAAGAAAAGTATTTTAAGAAAAGAGTTTTCTAAGATAAGAAAAGGTGTGGTGCATGCAATCAGCCGAGCTCAAATAAGTTTTCCCAAAATACCCATGCGTGTTAGTTGATATGACTTGATTTATGAATCTGTGAATCGCATGCTATTTAGGGCTAAGGATCTGCTCAATTTTTTGCATGATAGAATGCTAGGAGAGATGCCTTTGTATGTATATCGTAGGAGTTGGTAGACTTGCATGCTAGTGTTGATTAGTTAGTGGTATTTGATCTGATATGCGATACATTCTTGCTTTGGGAGAATTGGATGCTATGCTGGAATAAGGATATCTATTGGAATCAATAATTGCTAAGTGTATGTTTTAAAAATTGTATACGGTTAGGATCTTATAGCCGTAGAATAATTGATTTGGCCTTATTTCCTGTTCCTTGTCTGGTTGTGGTTTTAGG